TACGATCAGACTGAGCTCAGAGCCCGAGTTGTACAGGTGGCCGGGACAGAGGGTGCTGAGGCTGGCCGGTATCGTGGTGGAGCAGGAGCCCGAGGCAGTGGTGGCCGCCCCCACGTCAAGGGAACCCTGGCAGAAGGCGGGTCGACCGATGTTGATCGGCGATTTGCCGCCCATCTCGGCCAGTTCGTCGCCTGGCCTGGGAGTGTGTAGACCCGAGGCCTGCTCGAGGGTGGATACGCTACAACGTCGGCTGGTACGTGACGATGGCTGATGACTACCGAGTGAGGGCAATTGCAACCGGTCAAGCAGCGCATCCGACTGGCCGAGCTCAGTTGACGCCTGTTCGATGTTGAGGCGAAGTTGAAGCGATGGCTGGGCGGGAAGAAGCTTTGCGAGCAGATCGTGTAGAGCCTGAGTCGAACTCGGTTTCTCGAGGCGAACTCGACCCTTGGGCATGGACCGGCTTCGAAAGCCGGTCGCGTACGGACCGTCGTAGGCGCTGTCCGTCTCCTCGGAGCTGTCCGAGGTGAGGACCGAGGAGAGAGAGCACGTCGCCGTGGAGCAGGAAGCCAAGCCAGGCGATCGCGAGGGTGAGACATCTTCTCTGTTGGTGGACGTCATTGAGACCGTGTTTGTCGTTTGAGCTGGTCGAAAGGCCAGCTTCGTCTTATTAAAGGCACACTCTACACGCGGATCAGCAATGCCTGGCTCGGACAATTTCATTCGGGCCGGCATCGAGGCGGTCTGTAGAAAGACAGGGTAGACCGAATCTAAAGGGATGCTCAGAAAAGCTCCGTCAAGCCAAAATACTGATGGCTTGGGGGAGAATTTAAGGCATCCAGTACTCCAAACGCTTGTTATGTATCCAAAAAAGTAACCATGTAAATGCCTAAAATCCTCCAACAATTCGGTGGAACACAGATGATCTTGCATATATCAAGTATAACTGAGTTTAAAGAAATCTTCTGAGACGACATTATTGTGGTGAAAATGCTTGATGAAGACCTTCGAAAGTCGATCTCACCGGAAGAAGACGGCTGATTCCCATTTTATGCAATCGTTTGACGTAGTTATTCTACTTATTCAGTACTGGAGCAAATGGGTTGAGATTTCCTCCATCAAATTGTGCACTTAATCAGGGTTGGATCTTGTATCTACAGAAACCTCAAGTTAATGCCAAATTAAGTAGGCTAACTAGTTGAGTTTTACATTCAACAAAACTCTCAACCATAGCAAAATCAAAAATCTACAAAACAGCAGATTTCGATTAATTGGGACACATCGGGACTAGAACAATTTGGCCAAAGTAAACGTCTGCTCCAAATATGCAGTGTAATGTAAAAAAGTAAGAAGGTATAAAACAAAGGATGTGCTACCGTTTACTGAGCAATAAAAAGGCGAAGGAAGTATTGGCTATTTTCTCAATGTAGTTGTCATATAAGATTTATACCAATTAACTAAAGGCCCAAATGATTGCACTCCCCTACATATTTATAGGACCAATATGTACAGTTATAAATAGGAAAATACACCCCCATTTCCTGCGTTATAATAACGATT